AAGAGGGATTGAAGGCACTCGTAGGAACATCGGTGGGGAAATGGATTACGGGGGAAAAGTTATATTGGTGGGAAGCGAAGGAGAATGCGAAATGAAGAAGAGAGATGTGGGTAGCTAGCTAGCTAGGTCAAAGTCTAGTCGTATTCGTGATGGAGAAAGAATATGAAGTACGGAGACAAAAGAAAGATGTGACATGATTCCATAATCCATCCATCCATCTAACTTACTCGCCATCCCACTCGCAAACTCTCATAGCATATCCTAGCATACCATACCATCGCATCGCAGCTCATCTCACGACGGGGATCATCAATCAATCCTCGAATGCACATACACCTACCTATATATCTACCTATGTACCTACCTAGGTAGTAAGACATACGCGCATTCCCACCGCCAACAACACCCATCACTCACTCATCATTCACTCACTCACCCCCTAACTTCAACTTCAACTTCAACTCCAACTCCAACTCCAATTCCAACTCCAACTCCAACTTTAACTCCAACTTCAACTTCCATCATAAACACAACCATAAACATAAACACAATCATAAACATAAGCACATACATACAAACATACATAACAAATCTCCTCCCCCTCCCCCTCTCCTCCCTCCTCCTCCATCCTCCTCCCTCCTCCTCCCCTCCCGTCCCAAACCCCCATAATTTCCCATCAAAAAGCTATCGACTCGTAGGTTAGGTTGGTTAGGTTGGTTATAAATCCGACATTCGAATTTTTCTGATCAGAGATATTTACCTCTATACCTGCATCTGCATACTTAGGTAGATATATACCTAGATAGATAGATAGATACTATATCTAGGTAAATAGATATATAAATAGATAGATAAATAGATAGATATTATATCTAAATAAATAAATAGATAAATAGATAGATAAATAGATAGATAAATAGATAGATAAATAGATAGATAAATAGATAGATAAATAAATAGATAAATAAATAGATAAATAGATAGATAAATAGATAGATAAATAGATAACTAATAGATAGATAAATAATAGATAAATAAATAGATAATAGAAATAATAGATAGATAAATAAATAGATAAATAAATAGATAATAGATAAATAGATAGATAGATATTATATCTAGATAAATAGATAGATAAATAGATAGATAAATAGATAGATAAATAGATAGATAAATAGATAGATAAATAGATAGATAAATAGATAGATAAATAGATAGATAAATAAATAGATAAATAGATAGATAAATAAATAAATAAATAAATAGATAAATAGATAAATAAATAAATAAATAGATAAATAAATAGATAAATAGATAAAATAGATAAATAAATAGATAAATAAATAGATAATAAATAAATAAATAAATAGATAATAAATAGATAATAAATAGATAATAAATAGATAAATAGATAGATAAATAAATAGATAAATAAATAGATAAATAGATAGATAAATAGATAGATAAATAGATAGATAAATAGATAGATAAATAGATAGATAAATAGATAAATAAATAGATAGATAGATAGATACTATATCTAGGTAAATAGATAGATAAATATATAAATATAAGTAAATATACTCCTATACTCTCACCTCTCCACCTCTCCACCCACCTCACCTCACCTCACCTCACCTCACCTCTCCTCTCCTCACCTCACCTCGCCTCTCTTCTCCTCATATCCAAAAGAAAGCAAAGAAAGTAAAAAAAACAAAACAAAATAAAATAAATACAATACCCATCCATCCACATCCACATCCCCATACATCCACATTCCCATCCATCCCCATCCAGCCAAGTAAATTGACGTAAATTTTGACGTACAAAATCTATCTACATACTCCATCCATCCTTCCATCCATCCACCCATCCTTCCATCCATCCACCCATCCTTCAGCCCTACCCTACAATCGACGTACAGTGCAGTACAGCCCAGCCCTACGATACGATACAATACGATACGCGCTGTCATCACATCATCCACTCTCATTCTTGGCTTGGAGTGACCCCCATTTTCCGTACTACCTACATCACATCACATCATACAAAAGGATTTAAAATTCCCAATTCAAAAATTCCGTGAATAAAGACTTTCTATTATTTGCTCCCCCCCGTTCCATGTCTCATTCTCTTCTAACACACAAACGCTGAAAGAATCAAGGAAGCTTATCCATATTCTATCTGTAGTTACCGGATGATGTATACACCTCTATAACTTTTCTTCTCCCCCCCTCTCCTCTGATCCGCTCTTCATACTTCGAGTATGTATTCCATATATATGTATTCGACAAAACGCCATACCCATGCATTTCTGGTACTATCCGTCTAGCCCAGCCCGACCCGACCCATTCTACCTTGGATTCGCCAAAGAGTGTGTACAAAAAAGGGGAGGATCCGATTTTCCATCCCTAAAGCAAGAAGCCAGAAACGCCCCTTTCGGCATAGAATGTATAAATAAGTCATCAATCAATTCCTCTCCCATTAACATATATTTCTCTCCGTCAAACTCAATTATAATCTCACAGAGTCCAAATCAATTCCAAAACACCATCAACATCATACATTCTCTTTCCATCCTTGTGATCTTTCCACCTCCAATCATCCTTCTTTCGAATATAGGTTTGTCTGACCGTTCCGTCTGCTCTCAATTCCGATTCAGCAAGATCCCATGAAACTTTTCGTCCAGTTTCACGAAGAGGAATTCTTTGAGGTCCAAACATAAAATCGAGATTCCATCCTGTTCCATCATCACCTAATGCATTGAATGTCCTTTCCATTTGATGGAGGTTGAAATCAATACCCTTAGGATAATGAGCAATGGACCAACCATTTGTAAGGATAAAGTTATCTCTGGTTTGGAATCTTTGAAGGAAACAATCTTCACCACAAACTTGCTGAATTTTAGTGGATTCAAAAACTTGAGCTTCATGCCACATTCCTCCCTTGAAATGATGAAGAGAAAGTGGTCTGATACCAGATTCATAGAACCCTGATGGATCACCAACAATATCCAATTGCCAGATATCATGAAGGACAGTCAAACGGACTTCGGTGTTTTCGTATACGCACTTTCGGAGAAGGATATCACCTTGAGAACCCCATCCGGAATTTGCTTCTTCGACCTTTTGTTTAGTGCTGCACTGAGGGAAAAGATCTGTAATTGTCGCGGCCAAAGGAACGGAAAAGAAGACTCCAGCTCCACCATAAGCTTGGCTTCCATGGCGGGCAAGACTACCGACATCCTCAGAAAGATTACCAATATATAAATCTTCACTAGCATCATATGTTGCCATTTTCTTAATGAGAGCATCCATGTTTGGGAAGAATGTGTCGTCGTCGCACATTACCAGCCATTTTCGATGTTTTCTGGACTTGTCGTTATATAAAGCAGGTAGGAGAGAAAAGTAACGCTCGGCCATTTCGATTTTACTGTCTGCAGTGTAGACTTTGGCATCGATTCCATATGCTTTCAACATTTTCTTGATTTCGTCAATTTCCTTTTCCGAAGCATCGACCAATCGTAGGATCAATCCACCTCCATTGGAGTTTCCATGACCATCGGTCAACCAATGCGACCAATCGAGCATGGGGTTAATCTTTGGATCAGTAATTCTCTTGTAGGTGGTAGAAATACCGAAGAGGAACTCGGTAGCATTCACATCTGCAGGAATAGCAGACTTTGGGACCGGTACATCGAGTGGTTTCAGACATTTCGTAGTAGGAGCCGTGTCTTTCTCGATGTTGATTGTATCAAAGTATCGAGGGAATAAGTGTTCGTCGAGTCTGGTAATGGATTTTCGTTCAATATCTTGTCGATGATATCTGACTTGTCTGGAGGCATATTCAATTTTATCATCGAGACCATATTTTGCTTTCAGTTCACGTAGGTGTGTTGAGTTGACGGCACAATCGGGAGAACCATTTTGTGTGGTAAGAATTTCTTGTGAGCTAGGACTGAGTTTTGATTGGATTTGATGCAGCCTCTCTGGTGTAGGTCGACCGGTGAAGAAGATGATTGTGAGGCAAATGAATGTGAATAGCGCAATGCGGGTGAAAGGACTTCGAGGATTGATCAACCTGTTCGGCGATATCGAGGTACCCGTACCTATCATGCCCATTGTGAAGTTGGGAGATGGAAATACTTGCAAGCCAGTAACACCAGATTGTCTATGACGTGATGGAAAGATGCGTACGGAGAACCCCGAGAGCGAGTCGACGAAGATTGAGGTGTAAAAGAAAGAGGTGTATGTAACGACAGTTGTTCTACTTTTTCTAGAAGAAATGGCAGACGGAAGTTCAGGAACGAGTGAGAGAGAGATTATTGATGTAGGAGAGAAAGAGGAAAGATACAAAAGAAGGTTAAGTTGTAGGGCAGATCTAAGAAATTAAAAAGCCAAATCCAAAGCGAGCAAAGCGGAATAAGAAGGAAAGTCGAGCTAAGATAAGCTTGATATTTTGATATTTTGATATGCAGTTACCCTAAACATTAATGCGGAGCGATGAACCTTGTCAATCGAAAAGTTAGAGATGGGTTGAGTTAGTTATATGTAATGAGTAGTACTGATATTGTTGATATTGTTGATATTGCTAATACTACTAATACTACCCGTGGACCTAGTTAATACATAGTACACATGGAATTAATTAATGATGTTGGGAATGAACTACAACGAATTATCATAAAGTTCACTGAATCGAGACTGTCTTGAGCCCTTGAGCCTTGAGCCTTGAGTCTTGAGTCTTGAGTCTTGCCCGTGAGCCTTGAAACTTGAGTCTTGACTCTTGTAACGGGAAGGAGAGGAATCAGTCAAGAATATCTACCCGTCTATGTATCTACCTACTCAGTATCTATGTATCTATCTACTAAATAATAGATATCTCCCTTCCCCTTTCTCTCGTTCCTTCTCTCTCTTCAAAGACTTCATCCTTTCTTCATTCACTTGTTTATTTTTTACAACCCCATCCAAGTTCAACCAATGCCATCCCACCATTCCAAATTATCCTTTTTCGACATCTCCAATTAAAATTTTACCGTGATAGTGAATCCTCAAAAGGGAAGTGTATTTCCGTACGTTAGTCATCTCGATATGAGGTTTGATTCGACACTGCGTAGAGATTTCACAACCATATGAAGTGTAGAGATTGCAGACCTGGTGCTTTGTAGATTGCGTACCACCCTCAGGGGTGATGAATGTGTTCTTGGCCATGAGACCACAGCGCTCCATACTAATAGTCTAATAATACCTACACAACAAACTTACCCAGGCTCGAGCCAGGGAGCGTGATTAGTGCCGGATAAATCAACCAAAAGGTAAGAGTCAGACTCAGACATCTGCGGGCGCCGGGCGGGGAGTGCGCGGACAAGTGGGGATGGAAATTTCTCATTCTTCCAATTCGAGATCGGGCTGGGTAGTGGCTGCATACCAGAATTGATTCCGATGAATGTCTGGATGTCTGGATGTCTGGATGTCTAGATGTGTATGGACGGTTGGACTATTGGACTATGGAACAACACCGGCTGGAACACACAAGACGGTAGCTATTTATTTATAGATTTGAGGCGAATATTGATTGATTGATTGATCAATATAATCAACAATCAATCAACGGGAAAGATACCTGGTGATACTGAAGTCTGGAGAATCGAGATGAACATTGGTTTCAGAGTAAGATTATAAATATCTCGAGGTGAATCAGTGGTGACGTTGTTGTTCTTGATACAGATAAAGAGTTTTTCGTCTCGACATGAAAGTTGATGATTGTTGGGAGTGAAGTTAAAGGAGTGAAGTTCGATAGACATAGGTACATATTATTACTCGTAAACCCCCACACTAGAAAGAATCGTGCAATGTTAGGAATGCCTTCAAAAATATCATCATTTTCTGTATCTCTTCCAAATTCAAAGTGCTCCGTAAACCTTTTAGATAACAAAAATCATACCTACCGACCACTGGCTACCAGGTATCTCCCCTAGTACCCGCAACGATCATCATATAGGGGCAAATCATTTCAATCAGTGCTTCATTCAATCAAGTAATATTCAAGTACCATCATCACGTCAATCTTCCACTCCATGACCAAGAGTAATCCCTTCTCAGGAGTTTTTTTCTAACAACATGAGCATCATAACCTCTTCAAACCAACCTCCAACCTCCAACCAACCTCTCGAAACAACGATTGTCAAAGGTAAGAGAAACGATCGACGCTCGGCATTGCTTTTGAGTTTATTTTTATATTTCATTCATCGACGGTGTACACTGATTTTCCAGAAAGCAACGGGCCGAACCAAGTTTCAATGTAAAGTCGTCGTTTCTGTCTTGGATGATCGTTTGGATGAATGGCAATGCGAGGAGAGGAGTATACACACAGGACTTCCGACCATGCAACGTATTATATCTGCCATCCCATTCTACCATAATCTGGTACGGTAGGGTACCACTATGGCTAGCTGTTTGTCACACATTGATAAAGTAATTTCTCTCTAGAGTTGTTGCGACTGAATATGTGGAGTTGAAACCCTCGAGATCTCAAAGGTGGCTTCGGAAATGGCTTGAATGAGGAATAGGGGGTTTGAAATCGTAGTGATCTGGACTGGCTCTTTGTAGGAGGAACAGCAGGCCGGAATTGACTACTAGCAAAGCCCTTGAATAATCCTATTGTTCCATTCTAATTCAGAGAATTAAATGTTTAAATACTTTTATAAATTGAAGATTATTCAAGGATTTATTAGATATCATTCATTTTTGTATTTTTATTATCTATTGATTTATTATAGAATTTATTAGGGTGATTAATTTTGGCCTCTTTTTTTCTCCCAAGCAGAGACTGGGTCTAAAGATAAAAGGGGTTTGTTTTGTCTGCGAATTTGGGAATGATAAGAATACTCCGTAGCGATATTATCCTATTCAAGTTGTTCTCGATCGAATCTCTTACTTGTTCGCCTGCTGGGTCATCATGCACGATTCTGTACATTCTAGAAGTACAGCATCAACGGTACGGAAGTCTCACTTTGGTGGCACATGTTCTGAGACCACCAGTGGACATCTCACGGAAAATACATTGATATCCAAATATCCAAATGTCTGAAAAGTTCAACCGTAGGTCACAATGGTGAGTGGATTTTGATTTTGATTTCGGTTTGGATCTGGATAATTGACTGAATTGTCAACATCGCTACTGAGGCTACCAATCTTTATTGGTAAACAATACTCATGATTTCACAAATTTCTTTTCTTCACTCACTCCTCGTACAAGAAATCATTGTTGCTTGTGAGCTTGTGAAGCCGTACTGTCAGTCTATTAAATATTTGTGCCTTGTGGCCTCAATTCCTGCCTCATTGATCCCAGCGCAATCGACCCTGTATCAAAATGCGCCCGCATTATTTACATTGGAGAAGTCGATGTCTAGAAGGATTTCCCCTCAAATCATAGACAACCACAAGTCGATCGAAATTCATCATGGCTAGGTAAGTAGGATTTTACATCTAGTATCATACCTTCAGCGAAATCACAAGCTAATCTATCAACTACCAGCAATATTCTCTTTCTGCCATTTCGAAAGGCTACCAACCTACAATTATCAGATGCTATAAAGCAATACATATCCACAAAATATGACCAACATCCGGATATGTTCAAGCAGGACCTTGAGGTTATCGACGCTTTACGGAGAGATGCTATTCATGTCAGGGAACCTCATACCACTGGAATAAGAAAGATATCAGCATATGCAGGTCAACTTTCCTGGTTGGGGGGTAAATTCCCTATAGATGTATGTCAGCCCTCTACGTTCCGCAGATATACACTTACTTATCTGAACAGATCGGAGTAGAGTTTTCATGGTACCCCGCTCTAGGATATAACATCGACCGACTCGTTGTAGAAAACAACCTCAAATTCGAACTCGCAAATGTAATGTTCAACCTCGCGGCTCTCTATTCCCAGCTCGCCATGTCTGCCAATAGAGCAACGGCGGATGGATTGAAAATTGCTTGTAACAACTTTTCTCTTGCGGCGGGAGTACTCAAACATTTAAAGGAGGAAATAATACCCGAATTGCGCACTTCCCCTCCTGAAGATATGGATGATGATACACTGGAATGTCTTCAAAGTCTTATGTTAGCACAAGCCCAAGAATGTTTCTGGGCAAGAGCACGAGGAAACGGGACCAAAGATGCTTTAGTGGCAAAATTGGCTGCGAAAGTGTCAGATTTATATTCGCAAGCTTCGGATTGGGGTATGAAGAGTAATGCTATAAGTTCGGAATGGCTACATCATTCATCGGTTAAACATCATCATTTTGCGGCGGCGGCACAATATCGCATGGCGTGTGATTGTTTGGAGAAGAGAAAATACGGAGAGGAGGTAGCGAGGTTGACAGATAGTATCGTTTGCGCCAATGAGGGGATCAAGGAAATAAAATATGTCAATAAAGCTGTGGCAAGTGAGTTACAGTTGTTAAAGAATACGGTGACGGAATGTTTGAAAAGGGCTGAGAAGGACAATGATTTAATTTATCTTGGTAAGTTTTGTTTCTCCTAAGTTCGTTGATTGGGTGACGCTCCGCTAGCCCTCCGGGGGCCACTGCCGTGGAGGCAGACTATTTGCAAGGCGATTAAGCTTTCTAGCGCAGTGTACTATGAGGATTTGAGAGCTTGCTGCTGGGTAAAAACCGCAGTGGGGAGGGAGGGTATAGCGCAAGCTTCTATGCATTCTTGTAGTTCCTTATAAGAGCGTCGCGAGTTATGACGGCTCGGAGAAAGCCTCCACATTCTCATCTTCAAATTGTAATATGGGAAAGTTCCGAGCGGAGCGAGCTATGGGGGTTTGGGGGCTTGCCCCCATATACAACCGAACAAATAGGACGAATATATATTTCTTCGGATACCAGCTAACTTTGTAGATCCTGTACCACCTAAGAACGAACTGAAACGCCTTGAACGAGCAAGTATGGCCAACCCTATAATCCCAAAAGAAGTTTCTGAACCCATGACGTTCCTTGGAGATCATAAAGAATTTGGACCGCCGCTGTTCTCCAAACTTGTGCCTTTTGCTGTTCATGTAGCAGCCAGTATCTACGAAGAACGTCGCGATCGAATTGTTAATAACAATATCATTGACGAACTTGAGATTTTAACAACCCGGATCCATGATACCCTTCGTTCCCTAAATCTCCCTGGCTCTCTACAAGCCCTTGAAAAACCTTTGGGCCTTCCTCCTACTTTGCTTTCTCATGCGGAAGAGCTTCGTCAAGCAGATGCAATTGGTCGTATCAATCGATCATTTTCCGATGCGGCAAAGCTCAAGGCATCAGATGAAGCTATATTTCTCGAAGCTAAAGAGCTATTACAATCAGAAGCATCTGAAAATGATCGACTACTGAGAAAATTCGGAAGTGATAGATGGGCTCGTTTAGACTCTCGGTCTGCATCCCCGAAATTATATACTCAAGTGGATGAAATCGAAGGATATTTCAAAAGCGCGGCGAACAGTGACCAAGTTGTTATCGTCAAATTTCGCGAGTATGAATCTATTCTTCAGATTCTTACCAGTTCAGACCGAGATATTGGAAATTTCGTCCCTAGCTCTCGACGAGTTAATATACCACCAAATCTTGAAGGGGAAGTTTCCAAACTTAGAAATTCCCTTAACGAAATTTCAAGATTGGAGAGTAGAAGGAGGAGGAAAATCGAAGCTATAAGAGAGAAAGCAAAGAAGGATGACATAAATCATAGCATTCTAGCCGAAACTGCTCGTTTGGAACGAGACTATCCCTCAACACCTGTTGTTCCAGCTCATTTTGAAGATTTCTTCGAGAGACGCCTCTCCCACACCTACGACGCAGATCTCACTTCTCTTAAAACCGAATCGGAAGAACAGGAAAAGCTCCTCCAACAATTGGAAATAGCAAACGGATCATTCATCAAAGCTAGAGCTGGAGATACAAGCACGAGGGAGAGAGAACAGGCCTTACAGAAACTTGAAATGGCATACTATAAGTACAAAGAGATAGTCAATAATGTAGATGGTGGAAGGAAATTCTACAATGATTTGGCGAAGATAGTAGGGAGATTTAGAGATGGTTGTAAGGCTTTTGTACAGGATAGAAGGGAGGAAGCAAGAAGGATGGAAGCGGATTTAAGTATGCCGTTGAAACCGATGAGTAGTCTTAGTTTACATCATCCTCAACCAGGAGTTGGTGGGGGAGTGAGCATAGGAGGACATCATGCGCCGCCACCGCCACAACCGCTCATCCCGGTGCAAATGCAGGGCGGCGAAGTGCCCAGTCCGAGGAGAGAAATGAGCCCGATCCAAGCACCGGTTCCGCAGAGAGCGAGTTTACAGAGTACGCCGGTGAATGTTGGGGGTGCGGGTCCCGGGGGAGTGGGGAATGTAGGAGGTATGCCAGGCGCATTTGCAAAT